CTTACAACCTTTATATTTGGGATTGTGCATTATAGTTAGACTTCTTATTTTATCTTCATTGCTTGCAGATTAACTATGAAAATCTAAAGCATCAAGTCCAAGCAAATGGGTGGCAAGCATGGCTTTGATTTCACACGTAGACGCTATGTTTACATATGTACATGTTGTCCATATTTTGCTTTGCTTCATATATTAGGAGTTCATCCCTAGCTAGTCTATAACTTTTACTGAAAACTTATGAATCTGAAAAATTTGATTTAAGGACATTAAATGTTATTAGCATGTATTTAGAAATGAAATTACATGTCATATTTTCAGATTTTTTTTTAATAGTTTATGTTTTCCCATTTTATCTTCGTTGTTGTTTTAAAGGAAAAATAGTAAAAATTGTATGAAAGATTACTTACATATGTGCAAATTGGAAGGAATATATGCCGCTAAATTCTTCAACGAGCGTGGCAATATGACAATACGGCATGCATAACGATAACACCATTATCATAGTAAACAAAAAATGAAATCCACCATTTTTAATCCCTTATTGACTAAGGAACCCAACTCTTGATTTTCTTCCTGTACAATATATAGGGGTAAAACGATACTGATGGATATAAGAGAATTCTAACTACACTGAGTTAGATGATTGAAAAAAATACCAAGTTAGATGATTGAAAATAATAAGAAATTGTTGTGATGGACACACCCCCACAATTTATAAAATAATCATTTAAAAAATATAAGAATATCTAAAACAACACATTTTTAAGGCGCTACACGTCTGTGATGCAAAAATACCTCTCACACACACATTGGAGAGAGGCTAGTACTTTATTAAGTGAGTTAATCTCATCTTATGTTTCATATCCACCGGACATTCGCTAAGCACGAGGGATTAAAACGCGGACCGATGAGATTTATCTTCCTATAAACCACCATTAAATCATAATTAGCTCTTTAAGTAACGTAATTAAGGCAACCAAATGCATGGAACTCAATGATTATCCGCTAATTCACCGTCATGCACCTAGTTAAATTAGCAAGCATCATATCCAACACTAAAAGCTTGCCTTTTTTGCACATTCTTTGAAAGCGTGGGTAATGTGATCATGTGATCTGATCTTTATTAAAAATTTAAAAGCTAATCGCAAAATGTAAGTTCGGAATCAACAAAAAAATTTTTAGAGTGTTAATAATAATTTCTAAAAAAAAAAGTTATAGTTGCATGAATAAATTTTGGTTGTTGACATATTAGTGCATCAACGGTTAGAGATTTAACGATCCAAGTCATCTATCTTTTAGGTCTTTTAAAAAAAATTATGTCTACCATAAATTACACAAATCTAAAACCACTTGACCATTGAATTAAGAGTTTATGGTTTATTTGTACATTTTCTTTACGATAAAATGCATGTTTTAATGGTTTAGATTTGTATAGGTTTTTGCAAGGCTGAACTATAAATGATGTTTTAAAAGATAGACAATTCTAAAACGCTAAAATAAATTACGGAGTGAGGCTCACAAAAACGTATGCAAAAATTGTATAAAAAAAATGTGATGCCATGGCTCTGCGCTCAATAAATAAAAGAGTAATTAAATAAGGGGTGTGTGGACACACACCTCTCAATTTACAGCAGTTAGATCAAATGAATTGGAAAAAATCAAATGACATAAAGTAGCAAGAATTCGTGAAAAATAAAAAATAGATGTGTTGATAACATTATCGTTAAATTATTATTCTTGAAACCATCTACTCCTCATTAAAACCGGGTGTAAGATTCAATATTTGATTTTCGTCATTTGAATTTATTTTCCTACGTTTTACGTTACAATTATTGAACTTTTTTTGTGTGCATTGCAAAGAAAACTGAGATTCAATTGTATGTACGTATATTTAAGGAATGAGGATCTTCTTTGAATACTCATGAAGAGGATCTTAGGAATCATCATATTATATTCGTTCATTGTACATCGTGTGGTCAACTTTCATTAGGTACTATTCGTGTTTAATTTAAATAAAAAAATTCAAAATAACTTTTAACCACATGATATACGATAAACGGATAAGATATGAGGATCCGAATGGAATCTAAATCTATATTTACGTACCTATAAGTTTTCATATGGTGATTTTTATTTTCTTCCATTAGTATATTAGTGGTAAGTAATTTTTTTGTGTGTCTAAGATATGTGTTAGTTTAATAATAAAAATATTAGGGTAACAATTTGAATTTTAAATGTAATATCATTGCTAGATTTGTAGTAGGTGGAAAATAGTTCCGTTTTTAAGGCTTAATTATGGATGTGTTTAATGTTTTTTTATGACAACATTTCCTAGTAAGGAATTTTATTTTATTTTATTTTTCTTTTAAAATGATAAGTTTTTTTACGGTAATCTATCGTTTCGAAGATTTAGACGACTCGTATAGACAGTTACAAGTAAGAAAATTGATGATGCTAAATTAATATGATGTGTCTCAAGATATTTCTCATAGAATCCCCTTTAATTATATACATATAGGGAAAAGTAAATAGTAAAAATTATTTCCTCCTCAAAAGGCGACTGACTCGACAAGATCATGAGAATCTCGAGGAAGAGCAGACGGGGAGCCACCTCAGTTGCCGCGCGTAAGCCATCGGAGGCCTCCGCTGTCAGGGGAGTACAAAAGCGGGTCACCGCCACCTCGAGACACACCCAAGCCACCAACCACGTGTGCTAACCTGAAGGAGCTCGCACGTGCCGTCCGTACATATTTTGTTATCCGCAAATTACATGTAACCCTCCCCCGAGTATTTACGAACCGGGACAAGTATACTGACCCAGACGTGGCCCATTGTCAAAATAAGAGACTCACCGGTTAGTATACAAATACTCACTTTTTAAATTTGATCAAATAATATTTTAATAAATAAATATTTTGTTGTTTAAGACAATAGTACAATGTTATTTAACTTTTTTTTCCGACTTTCAAAAATAAGAAATATGTGTAATTTTAATTGGATCATATTAAGGGTGAGCATGTGTTGGTTTGGATCGGTTTTGGATCAAAATTGAAACCAAACCAATCTAGTCAATTGAGCCAAAATTGCAAACGAAACCGATTAAATTGGGTCTAAAATCGATCAGTTCGGTTAACCAACATGGACATGTTGGTTTGGGTTAGATCTCGGTTTGTGTGAAAACGAAAATACATAACACATTTATCTTCTAAAAGTTACAGAACATAGCATCAATATGAGTGATTGATCAAATGAAACAATAAATGAAGCAGCCTAAAGAGAGCACCAAAGCAGCAGCTGCTGCATTTTCCAAATGGTCCCCTTGTTCTTCTCCAAATGGACTCTTAAACTAATTAGATTTTGTTTTCATATGGTGAAAACACGGTAACTCGTATATAACTAACTATTTATATTACTATACGTATTAATTATAATTAAAAATAAAATTAAATATATGCGGGCTGGTTCGGTTAACAGTGTCCTAAAAAAAAAAAATGGAACCAATTAAGATCGGTGAGGTTCAATTTAACCACCAAAAAAAAAAAAAAAAAAAAACCAAACCAAACCAAGCCGTTGATGCAATTCGGACGGTTCATTCGGTTTTTTGTTTTTTTTAAATGCAGCCCTAGACCATACTCACCAGTAACAGTAAGTGCTTAAATATTTTTCTTACATTTTTGCTGACCTGTATCACTGACACCTTGACCTGCTAGATTAAAGATGGACCCGAAATCTGCGTGTGGGTTCAACTCGGGGTGATAATTGTACTCAAACCAGGATCGTGATCCGTGAGTCCTTATAAAGCCAAGTAGCTGAAGGACATGAATGCACAATCCATAGAACTGTTATGAATAAGTTGTGTAGCAGTGTACTAATAGAATGCAGTCATAATCCAAGTGGTTGGAATGTTGCATGATTTCATTGCTCAAAAGCTTTGCTCCATCTTATCTTCCTCTTTTGTTTGATCATGAAGCTTATCGTCCATTTGTGCATGCTTTTAGATTAAAACACACTCAATAACTTGATAATTAAACAATTTAAAAAATATTTCTTTCATTTTTTATAGGGGCCGGATTCGTGATACTATTTTTTTACACAATTTTTTATACACGTTTTTACAGAAATCATCTTGTAATATATTTCAATGATTTGAACTATATATCTTTTACGTTCTCCCTCAATCAATCATCATGTCTAGCAAAAATCACTTAAATTTGAAACTATATGATTATTGGATTAAGGATTTTAGGGTTTTTCTTTGTAAAACTGTGTTCATTCATTGTCTTCACTGCAAATGAATGTCTTAATCATTTTCACTAATTAAATCCAAAGTGTCATACTGACTAAAACAAAGTTGTGTAAAAAAAATAGTACCACATATCCTCTCCTTTTTATATGAAAAAAAGGGTTTCTTTGTGTTGAATGAGTCGAAGTACCAAATTATTATCCGACGAGAATCGAAACTTTATCGAATTTGGCAAGTGACCAAATAAATATCTGTTTAGATGCGCACCAATTGTTGAGGAGTTATAAAAAATAGTTATTTTTGGTTAAACCATTGGCTTTCCATAGATATTTTACAAGAGTTAATTGATCGCGGTTACATTATTAACTCCACCACGGTTAAATCCGATCCCCACTATGTGACTGTGGCCTACTTGACATTATTTAACCTTCTCGCACTCTCTATAAAAATATTTTGTTGTAACGATAATACAAATGATATGTCTTAATTAAAATGATAAGAAATTTTATTTTTAAATTATTAATTGTTTAATACACATATTTTATTATTTGTTTATTAATACGGGGTAATGATGAGAAATTTTATTTTTTAAATTATTAACTTTTTAAAACAAATATCTCACTATTTATTTAATGACACGTGATGTACCATGCTAATCTCTCCTCTCTCTCTCTCTCTCAAAACCGGTTATATATAAGTGCGATTCAGCGACGTATTACTTCCGCATCTGAAGAAGCTCCGAAGCCTGAAAGGTTCAAAGCCCCACCCGAAAATGATGCTCGGAGAACCGACCCGACTTCACCCCACTCTCCATGTTCCTCCCTGGGACTCACTTGACGATCACGTTATTCATACCCCGACATCACCCTTCTCCATCCCCATTCACTCCGGTAACTCTAACGGCAATGCCTCCAACGGAGGAGACTACTCCCCGCTCTCCCCAATGTTCCTCGACTCGCTCGCCGCGCTCCACCGTTACCTCCCGTCTAATGAGTCTGACTCGCTGGCAGAGGACCCGGACATGCCCATGAACCCGATCTCCTGTGACCAGTTCCGGATGTTCGAGTTCAAGGTCCGGAGGTGCGCCCACGGCAGGTCGCACGACTGGACCGACTGTCCATACGCCCACCCGGGCGAGAAAGCCCGGCGTCGCGACCCGAGAAAGTACCACTACTCTGGTGCTGCATGCCCTGACTTCCGCAAGGGCCACTGCCCGAAGGGTGACTCGTGCGAGTTCGCTCATGGTGTTTTCGAGTGCTGGCTCCACCCGGCCCGGTACCGGACCCAGCCATGCAAGGACGGGTTGCGCTGCAACCGCCGGGTCTGCTTCTTTGCCCACACGCCCGAACAGCTCCGGGTCCTGCCCGGTCAGAGCCCGAGAACCCAAGGGTCGGGAGCTTTGGACTCGTATCCATTTGGTTCGTCCCCCACCTCGATCCTGATGTCCCCTCCATTATCTCCACCGTCTGAGTCGCCGCCAATGTCGCCAAACAGCCCTCAACTCGGCCGTAACTCGGTGAGCAAACTTGTTGCTTCGATGCGAAACTTCAAGCTTGCTAAGATGAAAATGAACTCTCCGCCTGCATGGGGGACCCAAATGGGATCCGGGTACGGCTCTTCACCACGTGGGTCAGCGTTCCGACCCGGTCTTTGCAGCCTTCCTTCGACCCCGACTCGCACAACGGGTCGGGTCGGACCAAACCCGGTTGATATCTGGGACCAGCCGTGCGAAGAGGAGCCGGCAATGGAGAGGGTGGAGTCTGGGAGGGACCTCCGAGCGAGAATGTACGCGAGGCTGAGTAAGGAGAACTCTCTTGGTCGAGTGGGACGAGTTGACTCGGGCACATCGGCTCCCGACGTGGGCTGGATTTCGATCTAGTCAGCGAGTGAGTGTGCGTGAAGACGACGAGTCGTGGAAAACCCTGTCTGCTGGGTCGACTCGTTTGTCGTTTTTCCGTTTTGATTCATATTACTGGGCTGGTGCGGTAAAAATCGGTGGCCTTTTGATTCTTCAAACCTTTTGGTGTGAATAGCGCGGTTAATTTTGAAGCTTTTTGACGTAAATAGTCGACGTGGAGCTGTGTAAAAGTTAATTTCGTTTTGCAAATTTGTACAGATAAAAAAACAATGAAGAAGAATTTTGTCGGGGCTGCTGCTGGGTATTTGATCAATGTCTAAGAAATTGTAATTTCCTTTTCTGTTTTCGCATGTTATGTCAAATTTTCTCGGATAATTATATTTGTATTTTCTCCTCTATTAAATCTCAAGTTTACTATTTCTACTTGAAATACTTTAAATCACCGGTGCGATCGGTCGGTTTAGTTCTTAGTTTTCTGTACATTTGAATTACATAATTTTTAACCACAGCAATTGGTCCGGTAATAAGAGTGCGGATTACGGTTTTTCAATAAACAAAAAATGTGAGAGATTTAGAGTTTGATCTTCCGAGCTGGTAAGTTTGTTTAACTGTGTTTGGTATGGTGAAATTTTTCATAGCATCTCTGGGTTCAAAATGAGTGTACAATCGAGGCTTGCCAATTGTCCTCATTTTTAAGGAAAAAAAAAAATACATAATTTACATTAACCAAGTTTTAGTCATTCTAATGTGAGATTTATATTTGTGTTAATGAATTTGGATTTTATATCCTAAGCAATGGTCTATGAACCGTAATGAATTTAATATGAACTGTTAACAAATTTGACAGTATAACCAACTTAATAAGAACTGTTAAACAAAATTGACAGTACAACCAACTTAATAAGAACTGTTCAACAAATTTGACGGAATATCTGATGGACCAACAATGTGAATCTGTATTGAGGAGTAAATAGTGTTATTTGTGTTACAAATTATACATAAATTGTAACATATTGGATCACATTTATCAACGGTGTGAGAGATCGTCAAGTTAAAAGACTACGCAACCTAATTTCGGTCGCTGAAATCTTTTACTGTTAAAATTTTTGTTCATGCCAAATTTTCTGGAGATTCTACGAGGGGTAACAAAAATTATGATGGAAAAAAAAGTAAACAAAACTTTTTTATGGGGTATTTGGGATGCTAGGAACAACCTCCTATGGAACCGTTCAACTGAGCCAAGGGGTTCGTTTTGTGGCTGCCTGTGCCATACGGTTTAGTTTGTGTTCTCTCCCCTCCAAGTGGAAGCTTTGGCTGCTCAGGAAGGCTTGTCGTTGGCGATGGAAATGAGTTTTAATTATTTTCTTTTTTTAGTGTGATTCCTTTTAGATCATGAAAGCTCTGCTTCAGAGTTTTCTGAATAAGTCCAACTTGGGGCATATTATCGAAGACTTTAAGGCTTCTCCTTTCAGGATTACTGGAGCTTCGGTTGCCCATATCCGTCACCAAGGCAATGGTACTGCTCACCACCTTGCCCACTCCGCTCTACTGTATGGATGGAACCTCCTGATTTTGGTCTGAAGAACCCACTAATTTTATTGTTAATTTACTTGCTGCCGATTGTCTTGAGGCGGCTTCTTCTGCCGGCCTTACTTTGTGACTGTTTGTTATTTATCAATGATTTTTTTTTTTTAATATGATTTTTTGTAAAAGAATAAAATCTAATTGATGCTTTAGCTTGTAGAAGCTTGAGTTCCAAGCTTATTATATTGAAAATAAATAATTTGCAGTAACGAGGGTCCAATATAAATACTTTAATAATTAAGAATATCATCTATGGAATTGAATTTCATTCGGATTCAAATTGTGAAGATATTAGAGATTTTCATATTTTAGTCATTCATCGTGTATTGTACGGTCAAAAATTATTTAATTTTTTATTTAAAATTAAATACAAATAGTATCTGATAAAAACTGACCGTGCGATATATGATAAATGATTAAAATATAGAAATTCTTAGGATCCCCAAAAAATAAATCCGAAGATGACCCTCTTCTATCATCCATGGATTAAGAAAATGATTAAAGATGTGTAAAGTATGATTATATCCCCCACTACCTTTGTCAGTAAACAATTATATCATCTGATTTTTCAGGTGTTGTGATTAGATTTGTGATGTAGCATGTGTTAAGCTCGTCCTTATCCACTTTAGAAAATATTTATCCACTTTTTGTGCCACTTGTTTTTTACTATTCTTTTATCCTCAGGGGTTTATCCGTAAAAATCAATATCTTTGATGTGAAGGTTTTGAACAGAATTCTGTTTTTTTATTTTTTTTTACCCAAAAAAAAAAAAAAAAAACAGAAACAAGATAATACCTCGTACCTGGATCCTTTTTTGGGGATGAGTTTATTTTTTATTTGCAAATAACGTATTTTGATCATACAAATTTTATAATTAAAAACGTTTAATTTTTAATCTTTATTTAAAAATTACCTATTCTTCAATTAGAGATCATTTATCATTCAAATACATTGAGTCAATCCACGATGCATATACCATTTAATTAATTTTATATAACACTTCAATTTTTAGTAAAATTTCCAATATTGTTCTTATAAAACATCTTTATGCAAATGCGCTCATAGGTAAAAATGTTTTTGGCATAAGTAATCCACAATGAATAATAAATAATTTTCAATGAGAATATGATAATGATTTTTCTTTTCAGTTAAAAAAAATTAATTAAAAAATTTATACTCATATATAATATATAAGAGGATCAAAGATTTTGAAATCTCTAAAAAATGGGAGCCCTGTCCCACTGCACTTTTGCACATCCCTAACGCGCCCTCTGAATTCACCAAAGATGGATTGCTCATTGTTAAACATCAACTAAAGTTCAGATTGGATGAATAACAGATGCAAATTCAAGTAAAAGCAATAATTTTATATACTAATCAGAATTTAAATTTGATGCAAAATCGAGTGCAGCAACGTTTTAGGATTCATACAAAGATCCCACTTAGTGAGATAAGATTTTGTTTTTAGATCATCTCTGACGAGATGTTAAATCTTGAAATCAAAATTTAAATTTGAAGGCTTATGTGGCACATCGATCTTTTGTAAATTTTGTTATCCATTCAATATGTCAAATTTAAACTATTATTACTTGCATTATTTATTTTTCATAATTGTAATTAGTATTTTTAAAACAAAAGATAATAACAAAATTTATAAAAAGCATTTATTACCCACCAAAAATAGATTTGAAGCTGCTGTCAAATTTAACAGTAATTCCCTCTGCTATCATTCCATGTCAAGCCATATAGGAGTTGACATTTTGATTGATAAACACTAGTTTTGTCTTTTTTTTTACCGTTATTGTTGATGTGAACGTTTTGACATTTTATTTGAAGATGCACTTAGTAATCAAACTCTACAAGTATTGTTGATGATTAATAAATGTCATTAAGGCCATAATTAAGTAATGTAGATATGGATTATTGAGTTTAATAAGAGTAGGCGCAACAACAGAAGCAGGATTAGTAGAATAGGTTTAATTACAAAAAATGAAAAGGGCAGACAAAGTGGACAGTGGTTCCTACTTCCTCCAGAAAATATTGGGAATCCTTTAATCACATCCGTTTATTGTACATCTTGCAGTTATAAATTATTGTATATTTTTTTTGTAAATTTTATTCTCCACTCGATATGTCAAATTTAAACTATTATTACTTGCATTATTTACTTTTCACAATTGCAATTAGTATTTTTAAAACAAAAGATAATAACAAAAATTATAAAAAGCATTTATTACCCACTAAAAATAGATTTGAAGCTGCTGTTAAATTTGACAATAACTCCCTCTGCTATCATTCCATGTCATGCCACATAGGAGTTGACATTTTAATTGATAAACACTAGTTTTGTCTTTTTATACCCTTATTGTTGATGTGGACGTTCTGATATTTTCTTTGGAGATGCTCTTAGTAATCAAACTCTACAAGTATTGTTGATGATTAATAAATATCATTAAAGCCATAATTAAGTAATGTAGATATGGATTATTGAGTTTAATAAGAGTAAGTGCAACAACAGAAGCAGGATTAGTAAATGAATGGGTTTAATTAAAAAAATGAAAAGGGCAGACAAAGTGGACGGTGGTTCCTACTTCCTCTAGGAGAATCTTGGGAATCCTTTAATCACATCGGTTCATCATATATTTTGCGGTCAGAAATTATTGTAAATTTTTTTCTCCACTCGATATGTCAAATTTAAACTATTATTACTTGCATATTACTTTCCATAATTGCAATTAGTATTTTTAAAACAAAAGATAATAACAAAAATTATAAAAAGCGTTTATTAACCACTAAAAATAGATTTGAAGCTGCTTTCAACTTTGACAGTAACCCCATGTGCTGTCATTTCATGTCATGCCACATAGGAGTTGACATTTTGATTGATAAACACTAGTTTTGTCTTTTTTACCGTTATTGTTGATGTGAACTTTTTGACATCTTCTTTAGAGATGATCTTAGTAATCAAACTCTACAAGTATTGTTGGTGATTAATAAATGTCATTAAGGCCATAATTAAGTAATGTAGATATGGATTATTGAGTTCAATAAGAGTAAGTGCAACAGCTGAAGCAGGATTAGTAAATGAATGGGTTTAATGAAAAAAATGAAAGGGGGCAGACAAAGTGGACGGTGGTACCTACTTCCTTCGTGAGGATCTTGATAATTTTCTAATCACATCCGTTCACCGTACATCTTACGGTCATAAATTATTGTAAATTTTTTTATTTAAAATTGAATATAAACAGTACCTAACAAAATCTGACCGTGCAATATATGATAAACGAATGTGATTAAAGGATCCTGAAGATTCTCACAAAAAGGATCCAACGAGGATTCTCTCTCCTACTTTAGGGTTTCGTTTATTTTGTCGTCTTCGGCGAACCAGGGGAACATTTTAGTTGGGTGGGGAGGGAGGAATCATGTAGTGACGTGCTCCTCAAAACTTTTTTCAGTTCGTGGGTGTATCGACCATCAAAAGCTTTCCCATCACAAAAACCCTTTCTAGTTTGTGTTTTGAGCTCTGTTTGGCTACATACAACGAATTTGTTTGAAATTGGTTTTGAAAAGGGAAAGAAAAGCTTTCTAATCGTTTGGGCAAGTAGATATTTAATACTGCGATCCAGTAGTATTCTTCGTCATTCGTAAATGAGAGATCTTAAATTCGGTTATTGTTAAAAGCAAACTTGAACCATATTATTATTAGCTCATTGTGAGTCTAAGCTCACCCCTTCCCTTAATATAGATAATATCGTTTGTTAAAATAAAAAAAAAAACAGTTTGGATAAGTCTTCGATAGTTCGTATTATTAG